GTAGGTCTGGTTTCTGAGCCCCGGAGCTTCAGCAGCTTCCATATGAAAGAGAAACAACACAGCCTGTGTAAGCCAAGAAGGAAGACATGAGAAGAAAAATCTTTATAGGGATGAAAAAAAAATAGTGAGCTGCTCTGAAATGGCTTCCGTTATTTAGAAAATGGGACAATCGAATATAGCTGGACAAGTAACATTTTGAGAGGCACACTAAACAAAAAGCAACACACGATAAAAAAGAGGCGATAATAAAACCCAAAGAGCTTCAGTGCAGAAGAGCTCAGATTTTCCTTTTAGTCTGTTTGTTTTCATTTTTAATTAAGCTAAAATGTTGCCATGTGTACCTCATATTTCAGTTCGACTGGTATTTTCTGAAAAATGTTTTCATCAACAATTCACCTATTTTATTTTCTGCGTGCAAAATATGAATTCATTTCCCACAGAACTGAAATCTAATTACGTTCTCTGCTCTGTTTTTAGAAAAAAAAATTTCCCCTGTTTTTATACACATGCATGTCTATATTTATATACAGATTTCAAATAAATAAAGGAAAATAAAAATGTTGATGGTACAACCATCTGAAGCTGTTGATGGTACAGCTGGTCTGAAGCTTGAAGGATGGACAGAATATATAGTTTGCTATTTAGTATCATCACTGATAAAATATAAAATAATGACCTGTTAATTTTGTAATTTTTTTAAACTATCGTTGTTCTTTATTTAGTGCCAGTGGACAGTTGCTTATCAATTCAGTATTTTAAGAAAGTTTCCTCTTGTAGATCATCTGCAATCTACCTGTCTGTGTTTAGATATTTGTGATGTAGATAACCGTATCTGAGGTGAACATTTGGAGTACCTTCTCAGTTTACATGTCTGTGCACCAGCTACAAAGGTAAGTCAGGTAACCTTCATTGTATTTCTCACTGAATACTGTTATCTTTATTGGTGTCACTATCTGGGAGTGCCATTCATTAGCACAGAAAGGAGCAGCTACATGCATTGCAGAAAGCAGTATGGAAAAGGTCCTCTCTGACAGTTTGCAGTTCAGGCATCCTCCAACCTGCACTTTGATTATCGGCACTGTTGACCTTCCTACGTTCCTTCACAGTAAAGTGAAGTTACAAGTCTGCATTGTTATGAAATACAACCCCTTTCAGTATGTTAGCTACCTTGACCTCTGTTCCCTCTGATCATCTTAGTGGTCCTCTTCTGAACTCTCTTCTATTTATCAATCTTTTTCTTGTATAGAGGGATGTCAAAATGGGACACCTCCTTCTACAGGTGGCCTCGCGAATGCCACGCAGAGGGGAAGGGGTGCGTTCCTTTGACCAGCTGGCTAGCTCTTGCTAACACAGCTGGCTAGACTGTTACTCCTCTCCAATGCAGGGACACACTGCAGGCTCTTGTCCAGTCTTGACCAGGAAACCCACATCCTTTGCTGCAGAGCTGCTCCTCAGATGGCCAGTCTTAATCTATGCCTGTGTATATTCTGTGCCATGGCCAGGACTTGGCATTTGTCTTGAACTTCATGAAGTTCCTGTGTATGGCCCTCTTCCCTTGCCCCCAGATTTCTGTCATCTGGAAACTCCTGAGGACGTTCTCCATCACATTGTCCCAGTCACTGATGAATATGTGAAACGGCATTAGACCCAATATCAACCCATGAAGAATGCCTCTTTTAGCCAGCTATCAGTTAGACTCAGATTGTTGACCACTAACTGTTAAACTAACTAACTGTTAACTTGAGGGTCCGGACCATTGTAATATTTTCCGATCCAGTTTAGACCTGTCCAGTTTGGCTACAAGGCTACTATGCCAAGAATTGCTGAAGTCATTAAATGACATCCACCACCCTACTCTCACCCGCTCTGAGCCAGTCATCTCGTCATGGAAAGGTGTCAGGTTGGTCATGCATGATGTGTTATTGGTAAATCTGTGCTGTTAACACATCCTTTCCTGACCTTCATGTGCCTGGACATGGCTTCCAGCACGATTTGCTCCATATTCTTCCTCAAGGCTGAGGTGAGGCTGACATTTCTCAGATCTTTCTTCTTGGCCTTCTTGAAGATAAGGACATTTGCTTTTTTTTTTTTTCCTGTCACTGGGAACCTACCCCTGTTTGTCAAAGATGACAAATACCAGTCTTGCAATGGCATCAGCCACTTCCCTCAGCACCTTCCACTGCATCCATGGGTTTGGGTGGTTCAGTTTACTGAAGTACTCTACAGCTTGGTTGTCCTCTGTTGTGGTAGCACCTCCCTTTTCCAAACTGTGCAACTTCTTTGTTTCTTTTTTTTTTTAAATCCATATTTTTACAAGTGAAATATTTTCCTGAATACTCAAGAAAAGCTTTAGCGTTGTTTCTGCAAACAGCCATATGGCAAACATCAGCAGCTGATGCTACCCATCTACCTGTCCCTTACAATCTATAAATAGGAACAACAACTCTCAGATGTTGATTTTGTTCATTCTTCAGAATTGGTCTAAAATAACCTAATTGCTAGAAGTACTTAGTTCTCTTTTATCTCATTGAAAGTCTTAACATATAACTCAGACATCACAGTGTACATTGTAGACATCTGGAGTTCTCAGATGCATTCTCTTGTACCCTTTAAAAATGTTAAATTACTTTTTTTTTTTCTTGAGCCATCTATACTAATAAGCATTTTTCTTGCCAATTTTCATTATCAAATAGTATACAAAATATGGGTATACCTCAATTTTCATGAGGAGGAATCCAGAGTTTCATGCTTTTGTTCATGATTTCAGATACCTTTTTTCTGCCTTTTGGGCAACTCTTCAGGACTGTGAATAGTTTCCTGTAGGATCCCCAAGAACGAGTGAGGTTCAGCTGTTCTGAACTACACACTATCTTACATTGCTCCCTGAGATAGGAACCCCTCTCTGGATTCATTACCAAGTATACTCAGAAGACAAAACATCTCCCTTGGCATTGTACCAGACTGTGAACAATTTAAATTAAGAAAGTAAACTTTTTTAATCTTACATGAGTAGAAGCAATAAAGTTAACAATAATTAGGTTAAAATTTAAATGTAAAATAAAGTTTAAACAGCAAAGTGTGATTCTCCGTTTGAAGGTAATGGGAGGAGGAAAGCACCCTTTCCTAGATGCCTTGTTGAATTGTTAATCAAGTCTGTCTTGATGGAGAGAAAGGAACCCCAAACCAAATCAGACCATTTGTTTTAGACATCTATCTGAGGATGGGTATATCACCTTCTGAAGACATCTATCTTTTTTTTTATTATTGAGCCCGTAATAGCAGTAAATCTTTTTAGTCTGTAGTTGAATGGACAAATTCAGGTGAAATAGATCCTACTTGAACTACAGCTTTCCCGAAAATTAGAAATTCAGCGTGACATTTCCAAAACTAATTTTTGAAAAGCGTCCTTGACCCACATTGAACAAAGTACTTTGTGCAAGATAAGGAAACCTGGTAAGAATTCGAAGAGAGATTCACCATATCTAAGGTCAGACATCTGTAACCCAGGGGTTTAATTGTTGTTGACAGATCTAGTGACTTTCAAAATGGTCTCCAAGTATCCAAGATATCTGCTCAAGACTAGCAAATATGATGGAGATCCACAGGAGACCTGTCCTGCTGGAACATTGCTGGAGATCAGCTAAGATGCTCCTGGATGTCTCAAACAACACCAAATGCCTACGTTTGTCAAGTGGTTTGAGTCCTAAATTTCTACATCTGGGCTTGTCGTCGGGTCCCTTGCCCTATAATCAAAGGAGAGGAACAGATACTTCTAAGGCGTAATTCATCATAGCCACAAAGGTTCAGAGTGTGCAGTTAAGTCACAATGTAGAAATGCCTTTTCCATTTAGTGAGTATGTTGGGAAACGAGGTGACTAAAATGTGCAGAGTTTGTATTGCAGATGTCTAAGTGATAATGGATATCCATTCCAGTAGATAAAGCAATATAGACATTTCTGGGCCTGGTTAATTTGGCCTATTGTGGATATATGCTATGGGACAGATAGATGTGTATTATTGAGTTTGGAGCTCTAATTAATTGCCTAAACCTAGCCAAGGCATGAGAAAGCTCTTCCTGTCTCATACAGCTTTGTGTGGCAAGTGGTACCTATTCCTTCCTATTTTGCTAATCCCCTCTCCAGTCGTTCCCTCCTCCAGACTCCAGCGACTTTTCCCACCAGCCATTTCTTGCTCTGCTAACTGCTGATGGCCACCCCTGTTCCTATGATGTCTCTACTCCACTGCTCATTGCACTGCTAGACACTTCAGTGAAACGTGAAGCTTTGCTAACCACTATTTCTTTTATTGTTTTAACCATCTTCCATATAAGAACACACAAAGCAATCACAATTCCACAACCTGCAGAAGATTTCTAAACAGCTCTTCCTATTGTTATCAAGAAGAATAAAATTACACACACAAAATGAACTGATTTCAGGTTGGTGAAGATGATCCTTTCTATTTATTTCCCCTCCTCTCCAACAAATGTCAATGGAGCAGGCACTCCTCTTTGGAATTTGCTGCAATGTTGTTGTGAGAGTTTTGCTTTCTCTTTAAGGCTTTAATTGTCGGTCAAATATGGATAGTATTTGATTAATTTTAGGCTGTTTGTATACATTGTGTGTTTTCCTGTAGGAGCTGGCAGTTCTTTAGCGTATCAAACTGAGCCCTTCTAGAGCAGATTAACCACATTGAAGCAAATGATTCTCACCCTTTCCATTTGCGATCAAGGGAGTCCAGGTAACTGTCTTGGATGTAGACATCTACACCATAGATATAAAAACTACGAGTAATCCAGAGCATAACATTAATAAAGAAATGGTCAATCAACTATAAATTGAGTTTCAACTTATTCTGAACCAAATTTTGGCTGTAGTGAGGAAAAAGAAAGCAAAGCAGGCAGACAAGAAGGTATCATGTAATAATACACATAGAATGACATTCATGGATTTATTTTGCTTACTTTACAGTATTGACTATATATTCCTGTTCTTTCTCCATACCACTCCCCTCCTGACAGCAAGATTATTTACCTATTTTGTTTCTCTGCTTGTTTATTTTTTAAGATGCACAGATACGTATTTCCAAGCTTTATTCAAATTAACTATATTCACATGCCATGTAGTTGTGTCTGAACCTGTAACTCATTAAGGATTATTACCCCCCTTTTTTAATGGAAAGCAACCCTCTGGAAGCCAGAAATCTACTTGTCTGTTTTCGCAGAGCTTCCTTTACTTCTTTGTTTCTCAGACTGTAGATGAGAGGATTGACCAAGGGAGTGAGAATGGTATAGAAAACAGAGATGAGTTTGTTCAGAGATATTTGGGTATCGTGATGAGGAAGTACGTAGACAGTTGATATTGACCAGTAAAAAAGAATCACCACAGTAAGATGTGAGGAGCAAGTGGAAAAGGCCTTTTTCCTTCCAGTGGCAGAAGGAATCCTCATGACTGTGATAATGATGTAGAGATAGGACGAGAAGGTCAACAGAAATGGAGGCACTGAGCACACACCCGCCACAACAGCAGGGACAAGTCCTGTCATGTGAGTGTCAGTACAGGAGAGTTTTATCATTGGGAATGAGTCGCAGAAAAAATGTTCAATTTCGTTAGGCCCACAGAAATCTAGATTTGAGATCAGGAATGTTAGTATAGAATTAGATAGAAAGCCACTTATCAAAGATGCAGCACCCAGCTGGAGGCAGAGCTCGCTGTTCATACAGGATGGATAGAGCAGGGGTTTGCAGACCGCTAGGTACCTATCGTAGGACATCACGGCGAGGAGATAGCACTCAGCAGCTGCCAAGCAACCAAAGAAATAGTACTGTGTAAAACATCCTTTGACTGAAATACTTCTGTCTCCACCCAGATAGCTAAGCAACATCCTCGGCAAGATATTTGAGCTGTAGCAGATTTCCAAGCAGGCCAAATTGCCCAGGAAGAAGTACATTGGTGTGTGCAGGTGCTGATTAGCCACTGTCAACACAATGATGAAGATGTTTCCAGTTATGGTCATGATGTAGATTGACAGAACCATCAGGAAGAGAAGAGAATCCAGTTCAGGGCCATTCCCAAATCCTAGGAGGATGAACTCTGTAACAACCGTTTTATTTTTCCACTCTTGCTTTGTCATAACTTTTGTTCTAGTGATAAAACAGGAAATGTTAGCACCAATGAAGACCTTGACAGTTAAAACTCAAATAATGAAAGTTTCTTCACAGAACAGAGAAGTAAAGACCAAGAAAGCAAAAACATTTTCAGACCTGTCTCCTGATTTCTATGAAGATTTCTCACATACTAAGAGTTGCATTACTTATTACTCCACATACTGAGAAGACCACTTAAAACAAGTAATGCCTGTGCCTCTTCTCTGGCACAAGGGTAATTTCTAGCATGTTTCCAATCTGTGCAAGCAAATTAAAAAATTAACGTCCTTCATTAGATGCCATCACAAGTTGTGCCATATTCCTTTCTGTTGCAAAAAAAAAAAGAAGTATTTGATCTGATTGCTCCAGTGGTAACATAGCCATATTTCCATTACTAACATGTATTGATGCATGTTCACTATATATAAGTATGTAGTATGACCTTTAATGAAGACATTTTTCTTATTTGAAGGAGGTGGAAAAAGAATCCAGCTTCCACCAATGAAAATAAGTATGAAGAACTTCTATACCATCCTCAGCATACACTCACTCTGCCAAAAAATCCCCAAACACACACAAAAGCACCTTCCAGTTGTCTCACACTTCAGTCTTGTCAATGTGTAGAATGAACGATTCCAGATTTAAGGAGTTTACTTCACCCTAAAACAGACAGGATGAATCATCTTGTGAAAGTACGTATTCCTGGTCACTGAGAATGAGTTTAGTTACCAGACCCTTAGTCAGAAAAATACAGTTTAGATAAATCCTACTGCTTATCCTAGTGCTCTTTTTTATTTTCCTCTCATATACTGAATCACCTCATTCTCTAGACAAATCCCATTTTCCAAAGCTCCTGAGGCTTTGGTTGTTCTTTTCTGGATTTGTTTAGTACAAAAATACTAAGAAAAAAAAAAAATTCAATGGCCCAAACTAAATACAATACTGTGGTTAGGACTATACTTGTAAAGAAACCGAACAGAAAATCTACTTCTTTTTTTCTTCTGTATAGACTCTTCTTGTCAGCTCTGGTTTTATCCAGACATGCATGTATTTGGGAGAAGTATTGGCAATGTATTAATGGGGTGCATTTTTCAAGCCCATGCACCTGGCAACACAAAGTCCAACCATGACTCTTCACAGACTAGGATGGACAATCTTCAGCCCTGGGGTTCCCTAAACACATCCTCTGTTGCAAATACAACTTAGGTGGTTGTTTTTTTTTTTTTTTTCATCCTGTTGTCTACCCAGATCTAGCACTCCAATTTAGCAATCTTTTTGAATGCTTTTCAGCAGAATTAAATGCCACCTAACTTGGAATATTTACATCTAAGGCCCTCACCTCAGGCTTCTCTTACAGAGAGAAGTAAACATTTTGGACTGTAATCCATCCAGTATGTTTTATATATCTACTTTGTATGAGCTAAATCATCTAAGGAAATTATCTATTTCTTTCCATTGTCAACAGCGGGAGTTTAGATATGAGCTCAGCAGTCAGCTTCTGCCATGCAGACTGCACTTCCTTTTTGATGGTGCTCACCACATTTAGGCACTATAGGGAGGTGACCAGACACTATAGCAGTGAAGACCATATAAGGACACCCACCCAATAACTTATATCTGGACCACTTACGATAGCATAACTTTGTAAGACTTACACATTTCTTTCCACAGATCTAATTTTAATTTTTCCTTTAAACTCTTATTAATTCAACCCCCAAATTTTCAGTCAATCTGCCAACATCTGATGGCTGAAAATGTTGGAAGTGTGTCCTGTTTCTCTGTCAATCAGCAAACCTTTCAGACCAGCACTGTTTCTTACCTGAAACCACATTGAAATCCAATTAAAAAATCTTTCACTTCTCAAGGTTTTCTATCCATCTTTATTTTCTTTAAGGCCTTGATTTTCTCAGGAAAAAAATTAAAAAAATAGAGTTAATTGTTTGACAGAGGTGTCGTCCCCCTGTCGTCCCCCCGTCCCCCCCCCGGATTATTTCCATCTTTTGACTTATTTTTTTTTTTTAGCCAACTGAATATGCCAACTCTTCCTTTCCATTCTCTCAGGTAGAGAGCTTTCTTCCCTTCACCTCACTCCTTAAAAACCTTTTCAGAGCCGAAGACTAGTGAAACACCCCAGGGGATAATCAAGCAAACAAAAACCTTGGAGAGGCTGTAGTCATCAACCTCATATGCACATAAATAACCATTATTTTCCTGTACACTATGATTGGAATTAGTGTTTTCTTAGCCTACGTTTTTATTACTTGTGTGCTTGGATGAGATTATATTGACAGATAGGGTGGCAACTGAGTGGAAGATTACTATGATGATCATCATTCCTATTGAGTCAGCACTGTGTTCTACAGATGTGTTGCAGTTTATACCTGCCTCGGGCCTGGATTCAATGCCAGGCAGCTACCCAAGCACCACCTATTTCAGTCATCCTCTGGAGATGCTGCTCAATCTTCTTTTTCTGCAGGGTGGCTGTGTTCCTAGCTGTGGTATCACAAATGAGTGAGATGGCTGTTCCAGGTCCTGTTTTTTAATCTCAGCTTCCTAGCTTGCCTTTGAGAAGGCCAGGTAGACTGTAATTTGTTAGTCAATGCTCAGAGTGATTAGTTTCCAAGAACAGACAGAAACAGCTTGATGAATAAATATCTCTTGGCAAAGCACAACTTTGCATCAGCTTGGTGAGCCTCAAAAAGAAAAAAAAAATCATAAGAACATGGGGAAATTCAGAGACCACATGAAAAAAAAAAGTGAAGTCCCCCAAAAGTAGAAGGGGAAGTTGTACTGTGCAAACACCGCTACATGGGAGTGTAGTCAAAACAGTCTGAAATATCAATTATCACAGTGACTTCGGCCTGGGCAGGTGCAGAGCTGGTCCTAGCTGAACTGCACACACCGAATGTCATCCATTTTGATTACTAACATGAGACGGAATAAATCTGTCTCAAAAATACAAAATCTACTGGTTGACTTTCACATGGGATGCCCGTAGTTTCCCACCAAGTTGCCACTCTGTCGGTTCCACGATAGAAATAAAATGCTCGTGTTCAAACCCATGGTCTCAGCTACATCATTGCCGTGGTCTGTGCATCTGAGTGTCATCTAGAGGCTTTAGTTTGGAGGACAAGACACACCAGAATACAAATCTCTGTTCTTGATGCCAGAATGCCTTCATACAATTAATTCACACACTATTAATTTGTACCTAGCCTCAGGTAGTTATTTACAAACTCCACCTGGAAAATGAAGAGACAGCAGGCAATGTAAGTCTTCCAATACCAAAGTTGTCACCTGAAGAGTTAACGGAAACTCTCAAAAACGTCTGTTTCTCTCCACTCAGAGTGCTACACTGAGTGTCTAGTTGATTCTAGGTACCTGGATATGTAGTTAAAATAGTCGAATGTTCAAGACATTAAATTTGGGTGAGATGACTCCAGCTACTGAGTATCTAAGGAGATTTCTGTCTTTCTTTTTTAAACCTGAGAATGATTACAGCACTTGCTCAGTGAGTAAAATACTTGAGTCGTAGCTGCCACATAGCCTGAAGAGTTACAATCCCCAGCTCCCTTACTACTGGGTGGCACCCTAGTGCCTAGGCTACGGCATGATTCATCACAGGTTCTCTTCCATCCGTCTTAATGAGTTCTGCCACGGGGTGGAAAGTAATACAAGGTTCAGGAGTGCTGAGAGGGATTCTCAGCCAGGGACTGCCCCGATCCTCAGGGATGTTCTGTGCACATTGTGTTCAATGTAAAATGCATTGTCTGCTGCCAGGAAAAAAAAGGTAGGCCACCAGGAGGAGATTTTGCATATCTCAGGTGAGTACCTGCATTTGGGTACATGGAAGGCTTATATCTGGTGCTCTTGTGAATTAAGGAAGAGAGAACAAAATGAAGATTTTATGAATTATGATTCTTCAGAAGCATTCATGTTGAACCATACAACCCCAACTCTGAATTGCTTTTGGATATTTTTTTAACCAGGTGTCCCACCAGCATTAAGACCAAGGAGCATCTTGCCAATACAGATAGCATCTTTCTGATGGATTTACTAAAATTCAATTTGCATTTGGGCTATGAGATTACTTGAAATAGAAGGCTGCCAGCCATACTGGGCATTAGCAGTAAGTAGGCCCCAGAGACGGGTAGTAAAAATGGATGCTTTTAGGCTGTACAGCAAAGGAATTTCAGAGAGATGTATAAAAGCTTCTCACTTTACCTCTTGGACATAGGTGGAAAACTTTGCAAAGATAAACTCAAAGAAGAACACATAACCACAAAATGAGATTTCTGCTCACCTGAACCTGAAGGTTAAGACTTCATCTGGCCAAATTTAACACTGAATAAACTCAAGTTAACTTCACTTCACATAGAGCTTTTCTCTTCCATTAAATTCAAGCTATATTATGTGTATTAAAAATTGGATTAATTTACTTAAACCTGTATGTCTAGTGCTATTTTAGGTTAATTTGGGTTTCTTTTCTTGCCTCATTTTGCTCAAGAAGGATTCAGGACTATCGAAAGCATTGTGTCACATCTGCCATCAGTCTGCAGAAATCTCAGGCAGAATAAGATCTAGGTTCAAGTAGCTGAACCCTGCGCTCAGCCCCAGAATCAAACACTTAACTGTTTCTGCCTGGTAGGCCTGTACACATGATTGTGATGTCTAAGCTTGCACTTATAGTCTGTGGAGACTTGGTCAATATGTCCTGGAGAGCTATTGAGCTGATCAAACTACAGTGGGATTCAGGTGCCAAATAAAGGAGCCAAATACCATTTCATACACTTTAGGGTACCACAGACGTCCTCACAACAATTGTATGGCACAGGACCTATGGCAGATCCTTCTGGAGTGATAGCTGGAGTTGTGATATTTTTGGGCATCTGGACTAGTCCTAGATGCCTGTGTTTAGGCAGTTTAATTAAGCGCCTTGCTCAGGAGACATCTGAAATGGAGACTTCTAAAATTAGATGCTTGAGTTTGGATGTCAGTTACTCGTGATGACTCAGTGCATTATTTACAAAGTTGTTTATCATGGATAAAAAAGGTGTGTTCAGTGTTTGGGAAGTTAACAGTTATTCATGGGAAAGAAGTGTCCATTGACCCTCAGCAGGAACAACAAATAGGTGGTTTTCTCCCTTTAATTTAGGAAGGCAACATCAATAACAGCAGGTCAGTCAGACAAGTGCACTGACCCTAGTGCAGCTGACATGACACTGGGTGTTCCTGATAGGCTCAGGCTTTTGTCACTCCTCTATCACCACTGCTAGGTGCAGAAAACACAACCATTGATAAAAAGATGCATGCTGCACGTGAGCAACTTAATTATTGGAATCATTTCAGTTTGTTGTCAGACCAAAAATTGATGACCAAATTATTGGAAAAAATATGATACCTCGACTTTTTTGAATTTCTGCCCCATTTTTATCCTCTGCCTGATATTCGCCATGTGCTTGACACTGAAGCCAAGTGGAAAAAGTGGTCGAGAGATCTGGGCTCTAGCCCTGACCATGCTGAACTCTCTCTCCAGTGAAGACTGAGAAGAAAGCACCTTAGGGTTTGGTATCTGCCAGGACATCCGTGCTAATGGTCTGTTCGCACCATTGACTTGGCCTACTCGGTCTTTCACCCCGGGGTGCTGGTCCCTCTTATCATCCTCACAGCACACCTATTTCAATGTTTCTCTTCTTCTTTCTGGAGCTTTCCTTCAGGTCCTCCTGTGAGGGAAGTCAGTTAATGTTGACACAGTAGTTCTCATCATTTGCTTCAGATCAGAAATCCAACTGTAGAAAGCACCAGTTGTGGTTTGGTCCGGCAGAGGTTGATCTCTGAAATGCTGCTGCATGCCCTCATGCCATAAATGTGTGCCTGCATCAGAGGCATGTTGTAAAGACACCATTCAAGTGGGTTGTGACACAGCCCCCTCTTATTCGGTATAACAGATACCCAGCTACCCAGATAGGTTCATTAGGTATCTAGGTGTCTTTGGAAAATGGAGTGTAATTGGAAATAATCTGTGTGGGGGATGGAGAAAGAAAAATTTATTAGCGAATTTCAGTGCACTATTAACATACTATAAACTTTAATCAAGAATGTTATTGGGAAGGTTCTACCCGATCAACAAATTATTCAAAATTGCCATTAGTAAAACCATCAAAAGAGATTTTGTGTTCATACTCAAAAGCATATAATGAGTCACATGGGATTTCTGAGTTCATCTTGGCTCCAGTACGTATGGAGATTTATTAAAGACAAAGCAAACACTTGGGAAGATCAAGCTCTTGCCTTTTGTATAAAGATGATGAAAATTCTCTTTTCAGCCTGCAGAATCCATGCTGCATCCCGCAACGTGATGTGGGCAGGTGCCTGAGAGACCCCAGTCCGTAACTGGCTACCATGGAGGTAAGCCTGACAAAGGAGAGTGTGCAGACTTGGGAAGAAACTGAATGAAGAACAGATGAGAAGATTAATTTCTGACTTTCTGTGGTTTTGTATCAGTGGAAATAATTGCCCATGGGCTGAACTGTAAGGCTGATCAGTTACTGACATGATTTTATTATGCCAGTCACAGCTTTTTCTGAATATTTTTTAAGTGACGAGACATTGAACAAACTGAACAAACTGCATAGACGGTTCTCCCAACGCCTAAAATTTCCTTGCCTTGTAAATCAACTGGGTTACCCAAGATGCAGAATATAAGAAAACTTGTGTGAAGTTTGTCTGGTTGCAGAAACTCTTCTGATGTCACCGCAAGCTATTGCCATAGTTTAGGTGTAGGTAGTTTGGAACACTTTTCACCATGTTGGCATAGCTGGGTGATCTGCAAAGGAGCGTAAGTGTGTAAATGTGTATCCAGAGCATAAAAATTAAGAAGCAGGGTATGCCTCTCCAAGACAGGGAAACAAGCCAGAACATGGAGCCAAAAAATCGCATGTGATCATCCATACTTCTTAGAAAAGAAGAAAACTGTGTTGTTCCTGAGGTGTACCAACAGTGATTGAAACTGAGATAAGACAATTTGGCTTTTCATAGAAAATATTAGTGAAATGCTTTAGTTGGAATTTTAAATAAGTTATCAGGACATAGAGATTAGATCCAAGAATTAATTTGAATAGTGTATCTTTACAACCATGCATGGAAAACAGTATTTGAATTTTTGTACTACATTTTAATATTGTCTTTCCCCAAGATTCAGTGTGATGTCAGCTACAGAAAAGCAAAACCAAAGCCATGTTACAGAATTCATCCTCCTAGGATTTGGTGATTTGCCCGTCCTTCAGGTTCCTCTTTTCCTCCTCTTCCTGGTGATCTACATGGTGACAATGACGGGGAACATTCTCATCCTCGTGTTGGTGGTGGCTAACCAGCATCTCCACACTCCAATGTACTTATTCCTCAGTGACTTATCCTGCTTGGAGACGTGCTACAGCTCCACCATCCTGCCCAAGCTGCTGGCCAGCTTCCTGACAGGCAACAGAAGTATTTCCTACAGCAGCTGCATGGCACAGTTTTTCGTATTTGCTTTTCTAGTTGGGGTAGAGTGTTACCTGCTGGCAGTGATGTCTTACGATCGATACTTAGCAGTATGCAAACCTTTACATTACATCACCCTAATGAATCATAAGCTTTGCATAGCACTAGCTGCAGGGGCCTGGGTAAGTGGTTTTACAGTCAGCTTTGTTATCACACTGCTGATGTCGCAAATGGTGTACTGTGATTGCAGGGAGATTGACCATTTCTTCTGTGTCTTCACCCCTGTGATAAAATGCTCCTGCAGCGATACATTTCTGACAGAAGCTGTAACATCTTTGATGTCTGCTACGTGTACTATGCTGCCCTTTCTTTTCACTGTAGCATCCTATGTTTTAATCATCATCACCATCCTGAGAATCCCTTCAGCTACAGGGAGGCAAAAGGCGTTTTCCACATGCTCCTCTCACCTCATTCTGGTCACTGTTTTCTATACAACTCTCAGTCTTGTCTATATGTTACCAAAAACCTACAGCTTCACAGCTTTTAATAAGTTGTTCTCTGTCTTCTACACTGTAGTGACACCCATGGTGAATCCACTTATCTATACCTTAAGAAACAAAGAAGTCAGAGGTGCCCTGAGGAAAGAAGTCCAGGCATTTATGGGTTTATATAAATGATGTATCAAGATCTATGCTTTGTGGGTCATTTTTTTTTTTTATTATTATTTTGACCAGAATATAAAAATTGGAGGTGATTTCCACAGCAAGTATATGGTCACTGGTGTAGCAATTTGCCAGTGGAGCTGGGTGGCTGTTTGGGGAAAAAAAAATACGTTTTTTTTTGACTTGCTCAAAAAAACCTTGTAAAACCAAAATGTAAGCACACCCCCAAATAATCTTGATTAAACTCAAAACAACTTTGTCAGGTTTTCGTATTATTTCAGTCACTTAGAAATCAAAAGGCCCAAGAAGAAAAAGACGTGTCTTATGGCTACAGACACACGGGTCACGGAACGGCCCCACGTGTTGACGTGGCCACACTAATATTCCTCACCACTTACTGTGCCACCTAATGATCCTTCCTCCAAGCCTCCCATGCTGTTGTTCCCTAATAACCACTCCACAGAAACTGTGCCCGTTCTGCCCTCCTTCATTTCTGCTATCCTACACTGCCAATTGTGTCCTACAGTCATACCTTTCCCAGTCCTCACAGCTCTCCTTCATTTCACACTTTACACTATAAGAGTTCTTCCTCCTCTTTCCTTCCTCATAGTTCCCATTATATACCTGAAGTGGTGCGAGATATGCACTCTATAGCATTGTTTTCCCACGTCAACAGAAAGGTGACTGAAACCAGCGTTCACAAGCCCTAGATTTATACCGAAAAGTGCAGCCTCTGAGCTATGCTCATTCCCTGGGCTTCCTTTATGACCACTGGTGAGAAACAGTCTTCTCTGGTCTGTTCTGATGGTCCACACACCACATAGATCAGAGCTACTCTTTATATCCACTGACTCTAGATGACTAGCTCAGAGCTCGCATATCCAGTTTTTATATCTGAGAATACAAAACAATGTCTGTGAGCATCTTACACTTCAATCCTTAAGTTTTATCCACCCCTTATGAAATTCTAACCATCTAGACTGTAGGCATCTGTACTGAAAGGCAGAAAGAACTGCCTTAACACAGGTGTTCAGATACACTAAGGGATCCTGCAGATGTCTTGTAGAATCTGTGTCATACCTATCAACCCTGTATTGATGTCAGTGATGCCCTACGTCACCCTAAATGGCACAAGATGCCTCTACCTGGGCACCTGAATCACCGTTTGAATATTGTTAACTAAATCTTCTTTTATAGTGAATGGAGAGGCATTGTGAACGAATTTCTCCTCTCCCCTGTACTACAGTGACATGGGTCAAGCCAGAAATTGTATGCTTGATTTAGACTAGCACAGGGTTAATTTGGGCTGGATTTAGCTAGCTGAAATTTAGCACTGGAATCATAGAATTGTTTGGATTGGAAGGGACCTTAAAGATCATTTAGCTCCAACCCCCCTGCCATGCCATGTGTGTGTGTGCCATGCAGGGACACCTCCCACCAGCCCAGGTTGCTCCAAGCCCCGTCCAACCTGGCCTTGAACACCTCCAGGGATGGGGCAGCCACAGCTTCTTGGGGCAACCTGCGCCAGGGGCTCACCACCCTCACAGGGAAAAATTTCTTCCTAATATCTCATCTAAATCTACCCTCTCAGTTTAAAACACTAATATCAATAGACTTTAAGCATTGGCTATGCAGATGTTTACATCTAAGTTAGCTACTTCTGGCTCTCTTAATATCCAACAGTCAGAAAAAAAGTACTTTTAGGGTGAAATTAGATGATCAAATCATGCCTTCTCTAGGGGGAGATGACTCTTATTCCACGTTGTGTTCACTGTACTGGCTTCATCTAGTCCAACAAAATGGGAGTTGAGGGCCAGGTAGGGACACTAGTGCCGTAAGTAGCCCCACTGAATTAAATAAACTTTTTTGAATTAGTAAACTAAACTTCCCCTCTCATCCTCTCAGTAAGCAATAGTCATATCTCAAGAACGATTTATCCCATTGTAACCTTCAGGCAGCTTAAAAGAGTTGACAAGCAGCTGCAAAAAGAGTTGACAAGCAGCTGCAAAAAGAGTCATGGGGGCAAAAATATCCTAAAGCCCTGATATTCATATTGATTTTAAGCCCTTATTTGGAATTGAGTGTAATGAATTCTCCAAGGTAGTTTCCTATTTTGTTGTTGCTGCTTCTTGGTTTTAAAGATATACTACACAACTGTCTAGATTAAATACTAAAGGTTTTGGTATGTATACAGGGTGTACTTTGTCAATGTTCTTTACAACTAAGTCCCTCTGGAACAGACAACCCAAGGTTATTTATTATTTAACCCACAGTTTCTTGCACTGTCTATTGTTCTTTTTTTTCTAATATTGACTATGACACAGTGTTTTCCAAGTTTGCATGTTGGTTCCCAATTTTCTGCAACATAGCTCACTCTTGGATCTTCTTTATTTATCTGGACAGCTTTGCTTTCAAGTGTGTCTGAATCCCTCAGCACAAAGCCAACTTGCCTTAACATTGAGACCTGCCTTAACCTGGCTTCAGGCCTGAGACATTTAAAGGTTCTTTAATAATTAATATGCGACTACGATTTCCACTTACTATTGAGAGCTCCTCTTGGTTTGCCAGGTTTGTGCTGGGATGGTGTGGTTCTACATGCAGGAAGAGATTGCATGTAGGTGTGTGAGCATGTGAGGTCTGTTCAGATACTCTGTAAATTTACTTTTATTATGTTTGTAGGCTGCAACAGAGAGAGGAATTTCATTCCCAACCAAACTGGTGCAGCTAGCTTCGTATCTGCATTGCAGCTAAAACTGTGGCGTTCCATAGTGTAGATATGCCTAGACATGAAGACTCACTTTACAGACCATACAAAGACATTGTCACTTCTTGGGTGTGATTCACCTCATCCATAAGTAGGTACCTGAAGTTGTCTTCTCTGACAGCGTCCTCACTGTGTTTGCTAAAATTTCTTTAATGTACTCCAATATATGCTGTACATTGCTGTAGAGTCCCATTCCTTCTGCTTATCTCCCCCTTCGTGCATATGTGTTTTGGGAATAATTATAGATGTCAGAGTTTTACTACTTTTCTAAACAAGCTTTAACCTGGGAGGATATGATTGAGGGTTTTTGACAGGAGAGAACCTAATATCCTATAAACATGACCTATTTCTTTCTCTCTTTTCTGTAATGATTTCCCCTGGCAACAGGAATCAGAGTATAAATAGGAGGAAACATCGGATATTCTTTAAACAAAATGTTTATTGTAGAACTTAGCTCTCATACAAACTAAATTGATACTCTTATTTAATTTAAGAAAAAAAGAAAGGTATACCCAATGAAATGGAAAGCTGTAATTTGACTGTATCTGATGGAAACTTGGAATCTACAACTGAGGAATTTTTTTTTTAATTGGGGGGGAGGGGGAAGCTGTTTCCTCCTGAAATGTAAACATCATGAAATGTCCTAAATAAAGAAATGAAAAAATTTGGGGGGGGGGCAGAAAGGAGGTAACTGATGTCACTGAAATGTTTTAGAAAATGCAGAATGATATCTGCTAAGTGGGCTGGTGAGGATTTAGGAGCAAGCCAAGCCTTGACAACCAGGATAAGGGTATCAGTTACAGACCAGTTTGTCCTGGTTCCCCAAAGAATCTGGTTCTAAGGGGGTTGCAAAGAGTCTATGAGTCAGACGGTTCAAGAAAAAAATGTCCTACCTGCTTGGCCTCACATGTTTGCTAACAAGGCAGGCGTACAGTCCTCAGAGTGAAGTGGCTATCAGGAAGCCAAGAGTGGGGTGTTCTGCCATTTTCTGGGGGATCGTGGTTAGATAAATCCCTGCACATGATCACAGCTCTCTTCTGTGGATTCCCAGGATACAATTCCAGGACTAGCACTAATCATATTTTGCGAACTCTGGATTTATTTATCTTTTTGTGCGTGTCTTTAGCTACTTTTTCAACAACCGAAAACAGTAGTGATACATTGGTCTTTATGAGGACTTCATCTAATAAGATTAGATGTAACCCAAGAAAAGATGTACAGGTTGGCACTTGACATGTACCCACCAGAGATTTCAAACTGGCTGAGACGTCTTCTCTGAACTGTCTGCATGTTCTCAGTTATCTTAGTTAAGACATCTTTAGCATCTGCAAAAGATAAGCTAATTATTTAGTCTAAATAGAAATACACCCTCTTCCTTTCTGTCTATGCATTTCAAGCCATCTATTAATTTTTTTGTGAAATAGACCAGATTTCACTTGGTTCTGTCTCAGAGCTTATTATTTGATGTGTGCATCCCTAAGGTTTGTGAAACCAGACCCAAAGACACTGATGAACAAACATTTTTCTCCACTTTTAGGCAGTAACAGAGGAACCATAGGTTTTGAACACCCACATCATGACTACGTGTGCATTTTACTGTTAAAACAACTATCTTCAGTAGAGACGAACTCATACCTTGATCTCAGGCACATAAAAGCTTTACAATGACTCTTTGACAGAATCATTTCCACTGAACATCCCACTGGGGACACTTGTGGAAGAGCAATGGCATTTCAGTGAGGGGCAACGGCTGAGCTGGATGAGTATGGTAGAGGTGGGGGAGATTGGAGGGGACAGTATTTTGGGGAACTGCTTTGGGATGGCTTTGGGATGGGGAAGAGGGTATGTCACTAAGAGTGGGAACTTGGGGACCCACTGAGCAGAGCTGGATAGAAGGACTGGGACAACTGGGAACTGCAAGCTGTTACGACTAGAGAGAAGATGCTCTTCATGGCTGAAGGGCGCCCATCCATCTCTGGAAAGCTAGGGGAACAGTCTGATGAGAGTGGAAGTTCAGAGACTGCAGGGGCTGTCTATGAGGCACCACTGAAGCCATGGGGTTTGTTGGGGTAGGGATCTGGTCTGGGGCAGGAGGGACTCTGTGTGGAAAGGCTGGGTACAATTTCTATGCAGGTGGCCTGCCAGGGGCCTGCAGGCTTGGCCAGACGGGTATCAGGAGAAGTGAGGTGGTGAGGACCATGTTTCAGGTCTGAGGAACAGCGCTTGAGCCTGGGGTGCACAGGGGAGAAGG